AACGGACAACAGTACACCCATTAGAAAAACAGCAGCAAATAAATAAAATAAAGACTATAAAAATAATCTAAAGCTGGCGTTTTTTTGATGCAGGCCCAAGTAAAAATGCCATAGGGCCTTCAGGTTGCGGTGACGCGACCTGGGGGCCCTATTCCAACCTCGGGTCCCGTGAGGGGCCCGTGTGTAGGCTTTCAGCATGTAACACTCTCTCTCTCTCTCTCTCTCTCTCTCTCTCTCTCTCTCTTCTCTTGTCTTCTCTGGGCATGTATGAGCATCGAGGTGGAAAGATCTACTGAAAGTGAGCTGGAAATCGAGAATGAGGTTCTCATAAATAAGCCAATACTTAAACACAAACACAGAGAACCTCAATCTCGATTTCCAGCTCACTTTCAGCAGCAGACCTTTCCACCTCGATGCTCATACATGCCTAGAGAAGACAAGAGGGGAGAGAGAGAGGGGGAGAGAGAGAGAGAGAGAGAGAGAGAGAGAGAGAGAGAGAGAGAGAGAGAGAGTGACCCGCTTTCTCAACCAAATAACATCTTTGGCGATAGACTGCTAATCCATGCCAGCACAGCCAGCCACAGAGAGAGAGCAGCAAGAGAAAGAGACCAAAGAGGGGGAGAGAGGCTACAGAGAGAGGGAGAGAAGCAAGAGAACAAGAGAGAAAAGGGCGTGGGGGGGGCGGTAAGAGAGAGAGAGAGAGAGAGAGAGAGAGAGAGAGAGAGAGAGAGAGAGAGAGAGAGAAGGCGAGAGAGAGAGAGAGAGAAGAGAGAGAGAGAGAGAGAGAGAAGTAAGAGGGAGAGAGAAGAGGAGAGAGAGAGAGCGAGACGGGAGGGTATAGCTCTCTCAAACAGCAAACATTCTTGGTACCTCAGTGGACTGAGCACTCAGCAACCTATTCCTGTTCCTGATCGAAGCACTAAGCAACCTATTCCTGTTCCTGCTCGAAGCACTAAGCAACCTATTCCTGTTCCTGCTCGAGAAGTAGCGGCCATAGTCTCTGGCGGAGGCTAAATATAGCGACGACAATCTCTAGCACATGCGACGCAATACCTCTTCTCGAAGGAAGCACCGGAACCTATTCCTGTTCCTGCTCGAGAAGTAGCGATGATAGTCTCCGGTGGAGGCTAGATATAGTGACGACACCCGGGCCTGCAGGTGCATTACTGTGCACCAGCGCCAGCACTGGCCTCTTTTTTTTTCTGGCCCCCAGCCACTGTGGTTCGGCGGGCCGAGCCTCCGAAAATTTTGCAGGTGACGAGTTGCTTTTTCAGCAAGGCTGGCGCCGTGTACTGGCGGTTTAACTACAAGACAGGACTCAGGCAGGGCATACTCAACAATAGGAAGTTTTTTGACTTGTTTCAGGACATAAATCCGGTCATATACATCCAAGTACTGCCGTAATCCCACTGGTTCGGTGGGCCAAGCCTCCGAAAATTTTGCAGCCGACGAGTTTCTTTTTCAGCAAGGCTGGCGCCGTGTACTGGCAGTTTAACTACAAGACAGGACTTAGGCAGGGCATACTCACACTAGGAAGTCTTTTTGACTTGTTTCAGGACATAAATCCGGTCAGATACATCCAAGTACAGCCGTAATCACAGTCGGATACATTTAAGATGGTCCTAGTGTGAGCATGGCCTCAAAGACCACTCGAGTTTAGTGCCTCCGTAAACAATGACACGCCTCAGCTGACACAATGTCAGGGCATACTCACACTAGGACTTCCTCGACTGAATCTGGCCATGAACGAGAACCAACACTCTTGACAGAATCTGGCCATAAATTCCGCCTCGTGACACCACTCTCAAGATAAAACAGGTTATGCAGCCCAGAATGATGTATGTCACCGCAGAGCGCAGAAAGCACAGAATGTTTTTTTTTTTTTTTTTGAAGCACAGAAATTCTCAACCATGACAAAAAAACTGCCGAGTCTCAAAAAAAAAAAAAAAAAAGGAAAAAAAGACGAGATATGCGCCCCCCCTCAGCGCCAGACGAACTGCTGCATCAGCTACCACACTACTGTGTCTTCCCTCGAGTAGAACGTACAGTCAGTATAGCTGTTTTTTTTTTCTTTTTTTCTTTTTTTCTTTTTGTTTGGACCA